GGAGGGAGGGAGGGAGGGAGATTAAAACTAACAAAACCATGACCCCAATGGACCAACATCAACAGATGCATTTCAATCTCTCTTTATGCGTCAAAATTTTCTGTGTTTTATGTGATGTATTAAGGCAGAAGGCAAGTAGCAAACTCAGCTCACCCTCTCTGATGGATAGCATGGATGCTTCCTAGGCACTCTCTCATTACTGTGTAAGCTCTCCATACAAGGAGTATCTCTGCTCAAATGGTGTGCACAGGCTTGTTTTTGCATCTCTCATTGGACTATGAGGACTTAAAAACACAAAGTAGACCCTAGGTATCTAAATCAATACCTAGACTAAAAGGAAATATTGAAAGAATAACTGAATGAATCAATGAATGAATATTTACTAAAAAACCAAAAAATTCATGTTTTCAAAACTTTTTAAAATGATACAAATTGACAAAAAAAAGAAAGTCTCTCTCACCTAGATACTCTAAAAAGTTCTTAAATTATGTACACAAAGAGATAGAGGAGTGGAGCTAAGTACTTATCCTTATCCACAGTGTCAATAACAGAATACTGTCTTTACCAATAAAGGAAAAAGTAAAACTCCACACAATGATTTTCAAACATGTATATCCCAACTTAATCTATCCTCTTGAACTGAAGACACTATTGAGAATTCAATTATAACTGTCTGTTTCAAACTAGTAATTAATATCTCTAAGCATTTTGATAAAACATTGTATTTATAATCAAATATGTACCACAGTTTTAAAATCCAGAGTTGAGGAGCTGAAGAGATGGCTCAGAGGTTAAAAGCACTGACTGTTCTTTCAGAGGTCCTGAGTTCAATTCCCAGCAACCACATGGTGGCTCAAAACCATCTGTAATGGGATCCGATGCCCTCTTCTGGTGTGTCTGAAGACAGCTACAGTGTACTCACATACAGAAATAAATAAATAAAACTTAAAACCAAATCCACAGTTGGAAAAAAACTCCAAAATGTATTGAGAATTATGTGTGATATAAGTTCCCAGCTGCTTTCCAGAGGTCAGAAGCAGTAATGTGAATTTCTCTCAAAAAACCTATAGTTTAATTTTTTCAGGAAAATAAGTTTAATGGGATTACTGACCCTCTTAATATTCCTCTAAAGACAATAAATCCCATAAGCATTCTGGTATATAATTATTACAGACATAAACAGAACAGTCAATCAGTAGACATTGTAATGGACTTGAAATCTTGAACCAACTGAGGAAATGTGCCTAAATCTGCCTGGTGATGACCATGTTTGCAGAAAGAATCCTGCAAAAGAACCAAACACATCGAGACGAATAAAGAGCCTAGAGACAAGGTGGGGAAATGAAAACTTTGAGAAAACAACCTAATTTCTTAGCATGTTAGCCTGGGTCAAGTATTCAGACTATAATTCAGTTCTGAGCCATGTCCCTAAATACTGTTTGTTCTTTCAGAAGGTATTCAAATGTTTCAAGGGAAGGGGGAGGACAAGTACTGACTTAAGACATATTTTTGTACATACAACTCTTTGTGCTTCAAGAGGAACTTTTTCAGGTCACTGCTTTATAATGTGAACAGGTGCCTAAGGATATTTTCAAAGGAAAAGCAGCCAGTACGCTTGGAGCTGTAGTTTATATGGCTCGCATCCTCATTTATTTCAGCTCAATTTGGGGCCCCATGCTGAACTCTAAAGGAAGGCGCCGCATCTGAGGCAGTTCCTTTCTCAGCATACAATGACCAAATCAGAGCTGAAGATGGACTAGATAAAGGGCCTGCTAATGCTAAGGTTTTACAATTTCATGGTACAAAAATAAAATCAGCTGCACAATAATATCCAAAGTAATAGAGATTCAAAATTCACTAATTCTTTCAGTTTAGTCCTTATTTGGACCATCTCGTGCCAGCCACTCATACTGGCATGTTTGGGTCCAGAAAGCAAGAACTAAATCACTAGGCTCAATGAAAGCAAGCAACTTCCTAAACCTAAGACTTTTTAACAAAAAGATGATATAAGCCAGGTTTGCAAACTAAAGGTTCTTCTGACATGATCTGCATATCATATCAGTACAATTAATTCACACTGTTTCCAAATTAGTCAATATTTCTACTTAGAGTAAATTCTCTACTCTAAGTATAAATATAATAAAATCACAAACCACATGTTTTGTTTAAATGTAAAACAAAATACACAATGATATTATTCTTTGGCTATCAGAGAAACAAAACTCATTATTACATTGAGATTCCAATGCTGTTAGAATTGGCAGTGTTCCTGACATATTTGTATTGGTTATTTGGGAATTTCACATAATCCACCCTAATCACCTTTACTTTCCAATTCTTCCATGTCCATCCCGCACAGTCCTGTGGCTTCCCCACAAAGAAGATTTTAAAAAAAACGTTCAATTTATGCTGTCCATCTAGTCACTGGAACATGATTAAATTCCTGGTGGCAGCCTCTTCCCCATTCCTACCCCTGCCAGAGGCTGTCTACTGTGCTAAGCTACTTCAGCATCCTTACCACAATTTTTAAGAGTTCTCTTCAATGGCTTGCTGTCTAGGTTGTTACTTTGTGTGTGGTGGGGGGATCTATGTCTCTTTCTACTGTGAGTCTCCAGTCATCAATACCACTGCAGAAAAAGTTTCCAAGTCCTTTATAGTCAGCAGGAACATAGTTCATGGACTTCCACATGATTGATAACATAATGACCACAGTCATCCACCTGGCCTCTGGTGTCAGAACATGCTATGTACTTCAGCATGGTCTCTGGATACCAAGGCCTCAGCTGCAGAAGGATCATGGATTCAGACATGGTCCTCTGGTGGCAACACAGATCACAGACATCAACACAGCCTCAGGAAGCAGCTCAGGCCTTACACATGAACATGGCCTTCAGCAGTAGCTCAGGCCTTGGACATCTACATGGTTCAGCCTCTCTCCACTTAAAGGGCTTCAAATTTTGGACTTTTTCAGATTAAACATGTGCGTTTGTGTGTGTGTGTGTGTGTGTGTGTGTGTGTGTGTGAGAGAGAGAGAGAGAGAGAGAGAGAGAGAGAGAGAGAGAGAGAGAGAGATTGGGAGGGTAAAAGGACCCAAGTTAAAACTTGAAATTCATTTATGATTTATATGCTTTAGTGTGGAGGTAATTTCATACAGTATTTTCAAAGCATGAATATTTTAGTATAATAACACATGAGATCAGATGTGGACTTTTCTACCTGTGGAATCATGAATTTTGAAGAATCTCAAGTTTCAGATTTTCAAATTAGGATTATTCAACCTGTACTTTGAATAATCAAGCAAACATGTGAAAATCCATTTTCCTTCTCTTTCTTAGAATTACCTTACCTTTCAATAATTTAGAACACAAGTCACGACCTCAAATCAGATCAGGTTTACTATAAAGGCCATGGCCTTCCAGATAGGAAACTCCCAATTCTCAACTTTGGATACACATTGAGATCACCAAAGGAGCTTTCACAAAATGCTGGCTCCGTGGCCCCAGCTGAGCTTCAGAGAAGGCTCTGAAACAAGTGTCCAAATGACACTCACAGGAATCTAACGTGCAACGGCGTGGAGGCTCGATGATGTCACATGTATTCAAATCGTGTACTGATAGGCCAGAAAGAGCCAGCATTGAAAGCAAGTCAAAACACCTGAAAACAGAACCTAATATGGACACAACTCCAGTGCTCAAGAGTGAACCAGGTATACACTCACACTTTCAGATAAGTCACTCCAAGGCAGGGGTCCTGAACTCCATCTAACAATGTGAGGAAAATCACAGACACCAAATCTTTTCAGGTGACATAAAAAAAATAGAATCAATTTTTTCATAAAATCACTGAGCATTTAAGTGTTGGTTCAATTGAAAACCAACTCTACATAGAATGAGCAAGCACATAATGAACACACACTTTGACTTTAGACTTTAGGCTTTAGGTATCGCCTCAGGATAAAAGGGATGTTTCCTGGCTACAGCAACCTCAACACCATTATCATCATCAGTATCTGCATCATCATCAGTAACCACACACAATGTGTAACCACTATGCTCAGTTATGCAGTGTATAACTGAGTCTTTAATACCCTTTCAGTGAGGTGCCATGATTTAGTCCCACTTTCTGGTAACTACCTACCGGAATCAAAAAGCTAGTAAATGATCACATCAAAATCCAGATGTGTAGAGTGCCTTAGTTTAAAATGTGCTTTTAAACAACCTCTGTTCTGCATTAAAAAAATAAAATGAAGTAAATAGCTAAATAATTCCTCGGCTCATCTGTTATTATCAAAAGTCTCTGACTCTGCAACACAACTCTTGAATAGATAAAGGCATAGGTGTTTATACCTATTAGTCACAAATTCTCTAGTAAGAATTATTTGCTCTGAAGAGTTTAATGAATATTCATGAGTCTTCTGAAAAGATAACAAAGGCACAGACTTAAAAAGTTATTTATATGTTCCTGTAAAAATTTTACTTCAATGGTTTACCTTTTGATAGATGAGTAAAAGTGCTCAGAAATTCTTCATAGGTTTGCTCATGAGAGTTGATAAACTTATCCAAGACTTCTTTTATTAATTGATCCTCATCCATTATCTCTGGTCTCAGTATTTGAGCAGGCATTCCAATTCACAAGGCCACTCTACAAGACAAAGAAAAGCAGAAACTAGAGAGTAAGGCAGCTTCAGCAACTATGGAGGGGTGGTAGAGAAATTCAGGGCCCAAAAGACAGGTGACGATAGCTGCAGGAGCAGCAGACTCCAGCATCAGAGGTAGAAGCTTCAGCAGTTTGTACTGCTTACGTGATAACAGTACCTAATTTGGTTTGGATTTCAGTTTTCTCATTATATGAGAATAATATCATGTAACACATCTCATTATATGAGAATAATATCACGTAACACAAGAATAATGTCATGTAATTTGACTCGAAACTAAAATTCTTCCAATGTGAGGAGAATCCCAAAGGACACCTGCTAACCACCACCCCATGCAGTGGCAAAGGCAGTGGGAGCTGCTATGGTGAAAGGGCCAACAGTGAGTGCTTCAGTGTTAGCTTCCACAACCCTAGGAAAGTTCACAGAGCTGAATGTGCCTGTCCAAGCCCTGGATCCAATCCCTTAAAACAGTATCCAGTACTTCCCTCCATCTACTGTAACCTCACCAGTACTTGATTAGCAAGAAGTGGCCCTCCCTGTATCTTAGCACACCCAGGTCTGCGAATTCTGATATTCCAATGAAGCTATTGGCTGCTCTACTAAAAACACCTAAAAGTGAGCCTAAATCTGTCTCCCTAACCTACCCCAAACGTTCTCTGAGACAGTGAGAATGATTGCATAATTTTAATCCCTCTAGTACCTGACAACCATTCAGGTACTTGAACAAAGTCAAACTGAACCATCTCAGTCTTCTCATTCTATTTCTTGAGAGTTACTTCTTTTCCAAAACTCGGTTCAGAGTTGTGGTTTTCTAAACCACCACACACACACCTCTCACCATCGTGAGAAGTTAGCTGTGACTTCTCATGCCACCATGTGTTATATTAGCACACTCACTAGGAAGACATAATTCGTCATCTGCTTCTACACTCACAGTCCTGAAAGACTGAGCACATCTCATCCTTGTATCCCAAACACTTAAGACTTCAGAATGTGGTGTGCACTAAGGATGCTCATCTGAACAGGAACAATGGTCAAAATGTCACTAGACTTAACAAAATCAACTGAACTTGGCCAACGACTTCACCTGACCTTGGATAGGGAGTCCCAAGAACCCTATGAAAGCCCCAATCAATAGGCTGGGAAAGATTTGATAACACATCACCTATATGTGTTTACAATATGAGGTCCAGAACTAGAGCAGAAACAAGGTCTGGGTATGAACTAATCCTCACAGTCTAAATACTGTACTCATCCTATTCTACTATTCTGAACATCACATTCACAGCACCACTGGCCTCTTCACACACACTTCACTGATAACTGTTTCATTCTCTACAGTTTGAACTTAGTCTTCACTCCAGATATCACATCTGATTGAATTCTGCTGAGAGCCTGCCCAGCCTGGAATGAGCTTGAAGTAGGACACAGCTTTAAAGACTGATGGTCTCTGGCCTTCTAGCTTTCTTTTTTTTTTTTTTCCTTTTTTTTAATTTTTTTATTGGATGTTTTATTTACATTTCATATGTTGCCCCCTTGCCCCATCCCCCACCCACCCAGGAACCCCCTATCCCCTCACCCCTCCTCCTTCTTCTCTGTGGATGTAACCCCTACCTACCCCCCCCCACTCCCACCTCCCCACCCTCAAAATTCCCACCCCCTGGGGTGTCCAGCCTTCATGAGGTCAAGGATCTCTTCTTCCACCTATGCCCAACAGGGCCCTCCACTCTTATGTATTCAGCTGAAGCCCTGGATCCCTCTCTAAGTGCTCCCAGGCTGGTGGTTGAGACCCTGGGAGCTGTGGTTGGTTGGTATTGTTGCTCTTCTCATGGTGCCGCAAACCCTTTCAGCTCCTTGCTTGCTTATAACTTCTAAAAGGTTCAAAAAACTTTCTTGCTTATTCTATGGTTTAAAAATGCTGGCTTCTTTCCTCTTTAACTCTGTGCTTTATTAAACATTATAATCCTCTGCGCTTTATTTAACTCTTTATGCTTAAATAAGTGCTAAGAAAACTTAACTCTTTCTTACTGTTCTGTGCTTCATTAAAAACCTAACTTTTTATTACTTGTGCTTTAATAAGTGCTAATATCTGGCAATAACCACATACTGTTTAGCATCAGGGAATTAAGTGAAAGGATTTATTGCTAATACTCCGTTTTCTTGCCAGGTAGCCAGAAGCCCTTTGCTGGCCTGGCTGTTTAACAATTTTTGAACCAAAGAGCAAGGAAAGGAAAAGAATTAAGATGCTTTGTACAGGCAAATATGCACAGACACATACACATTCAAACATTTATACACCTACACTCTGGCCAGGCCCGACCATCTGTTACAATCAACTCCACAAGTATTCATGCATGCATACATACATACACATATACCTATACACAAACATATAGACAAATAGACATATACATTTGAATGGATGTATGGGTGGATAGGGCAAAGCTCCCCAAGCCAAACCATTCAACCAACAACTTTATTTCTTTTCTCTGATCTTTTTATACCTTCTTAGACAAAAAGTTCTTAGAAAATTGCCTCAGAGATAAAATGTTACATAAAATGAGAGTTACAGAAGGATGTTGACATTAACATCAAAGCAGTGTTTCGTTATAATAAACTCATTAAAAATTCAAAGCAAGGCTGGAGAGATGGCTCAGTGGTTAAGAGCACTAACTGTTCTACCAGAGGTCTTGAGTTCAATTCCCAGCAACCACATGGTGGTTCACAACCATCTGTAATGGGATCTGATGCCCTCTTCAGGTGTGTCTAAGGACAGCAATAGTGTACTCATATGCATAAAATAAATAAATAGTTCCTTAAAAAAAAAGTTCAAAGCAACAGTTTTTGCATGGCCTTGCCATATCGTAGTACACACCTGTGACTTTATCCTTGGACCTAAATGTTTTTCCTTGAACACAAAGTTGTCCCTAGTCTATTTCTCCTTTTAATTTGATTATGAAAGCTCATTGTATTTCTTATTATGCAGCTTTTACTTACTAGTCTGAGGAGTGAACACATTCTATTCTTTTTTTTTTTTTAAAGATTTATTTATTTATTTTATTTATGAGTACACTGTCGCTGTCTTCGGACACACCAGAAGAGGGCATCCAATCTCATTACGGATGGTTGTGAGCCACCATGTGGTTGCTGGGATTTGAACTCACGACCTCTGGAAGAGCAGTCAGTGCTCTTAACTGCTGAGCCATCTCTCCAGCCCCACATTCTATTCTTGATTCTAATTTTACTACATCTTTCTAGCAACTGAAACCATCTCTAAAAACTTTCTTTCTAAAATTATTTGAATAAGATCAGGAATTCTATAGAATTATTATCTATTTGTCTATATAGCATCACTACAAGATAGTACATCGTCATAGTTCTGCAGAGATCTGCCCAAATGGGTAGGCTAATACCTAGTGATTTTATATATTTAATAATAACAGGAAAAGCATATTAACAGCAGGAATCTTTCCTAAAACAAATTTTTCATGGGCCTTGCCTATCAGAGCAAATCCATCATGGATTTTAATTCAAGGTAGATTCATCTCAAGAAGATCGACTGGTAGTTATTAGCTTCTCCTATGATGGCTCCTGACAGAATTACATTTACTCTGTATGAAATATTATTTGATAAAGCTTTGGGAAACTTGACTATCTACATTAAGAAGAAGAATAAACAACAGTACAGTAATACATACAAGATAATAAAAAGGGAATATGGGGTCGCCATACTATATGGCAAGAAAAGACAGCATCAGACTTCTTTATGTTTTTCTGAAACAAAAATAAAAATGGAGCTAGGAAGAGTGCCACAGATCACATGCTGTTCTTACAGAGGACCAGAGTTTCATTTCCAGTACCACAATAGGATGTATACAACTGCCTACTTATCCAGCTCCAGGAGCATCTGATCCTTCTGACCTCTACATACGCACACACACACACACACACACACACACACACACACACACACACACACTTAAAAATAAAAGTCTTTTTAAGAGTTATTATCTTTTATTTTAAGAGAATAAAAATCTGTTACCTATTAACTTTCTTCGTCCACTTTCCTTTTTAAATCCACTTCTACTATAGAAGTGGTCGTCCTTTTAAAATACAAATCACTCAAAAATGTGTAAGGGAAAACCATTAAAGATATTCTTAACTATCCTCTGATCCCACCAGTTCCACCTGTAAGCTCTTTCAGGAGTCTAATGAATATATTTCTAAATCTTTCCCTTTATATAATGTTTATGATGATAGACATGTTTATAAAAACAGGATAATATATGCTATTCCTTATAAATAGATTTAATTTTTTGAGCTAAAGAATAGTGTTTTTTAAACATAACAAGATCTATGACATTATTTGGATCTAGAAGTAGAAATCTAGCCTATTGTTTCAAACAGCTACACAGCCATAGCCCAGCTCTGCTGCTTGAATACATTTGGAAAAGCTACTCGACATCTCTGCATCTCAGTTTCCTCTTATCTAGAAAGGGGTACTATAATGGCTCAACCTTGTTTCCTAAACCTCAGTTCTAAATATCAAATGCTAAGTGGGGCTGGGGTGGGGTGTTTTCTTATGCTGTTCAGACTCATTTACTGACAAATCTGACCTGAGCTGACATGAGAGCATTTGTAGTCATTTCTTCTTCCCAGTGTCATTATTCACATGTTCCTTAATAGATTTGCATATGAGGTGCCTTCCCAGCCAACTGGAGGTCTGGACAATGCATGCCATTTGTACTTCCTACCTTACTTGAATCCAAAATATTCTGAAACACAGATGACTCCAGGGGTTTTATGGAACCATGAAGCTAAATGAAGCTCACAAGATGGCCCTGAAGATTAAATGTGTGTCCACCTTGATAAACATAGCCTTTCTGGTGATTATGAGGAAGAAGATGACAGAGAATCCCCTTAACTGAGACCACTCTGGCTTTAAATGCACTGATGCTACCCACAAAATACTACCTTGTACATC